GGGGAGCGTAGCTTTCCTCCCTCAGAAATAGTCACATCAGGGCCAGTGGCAAGTCTCTGACACGTCCTAGGTAGAGGGATGGCCTGTACAGGGCCTAAAATCCTCAGTGTGTGCCAGTGGTCACATCATGGTATCTCAATAGTCACATCTTGTATCCCCACTTGGGTCAACCACTCACCCACCACAACGAAGCCTATAAATACGGCATTTACTACGGTGGGTGAGGGGATCGCATTTTTCACCATTCTCTCTCTATAACAATCATTTCTCTTTCTAAAAGTTTGGACTCCGGTCCTCGCTCAACTCTCTAATTCTTATCTCCCCGATCAAACTCGACGCTTGCGTTTCTTCTTGACCCAAACTCTCACTCGAACCTCACTCCTACACTCAGTTAGGTTCAAACAATATCAATCGATGACATAGAAGAAGCCTACAGACGTGCGTAATCGACCTGTTCAATGCATGAACCAGACCGATACACGAAAATCTGCTGGTTGAATTCTTCTGTTAGACCCATTTTCTGCACTTTCAAAATTTTGAATTGTGTTTGGAAATATGAGCTATAAAACGTGTAGATTCTTAAGATGCTTCCCTTTGTATATATAAACTCACATATATGTAAAAGTCGGTCATGGAATTACCGAGACTACACTTATCCATGATACATGATTTTTTTTCATTTATGTTTGGTTTAGGGATTAAACATTGAAGTCCTATAACTAAAAAAACCAAAAACAAAAGTGGTTTTATTTGATGATAGATGCATGTCTTAATTTAATTAAGTGGAAAGGAGGAATGAAAGTTCGAGACACATTGCCGTATGCTCACTTATCCTAATTTTGTCATCAATATTACAAATGGCACAAAGTTAGTTTTATAAACAAGTAAACAAACACTTTATAAACGATTATATTGACTGAAAACAAATGTGGCGGTTCCTTCAAAACCCTGTCAATAAGTGCCAATTGGTAGTAAAATGAATGGTAGTGTGCTATGGACATGGGTCTTGAAATGATCAAGATCTCTAGATTCGAAGTCTTACGCCATAACCATTCAATTATTAAATCCATGTTAGCATACTTTAGATTGAAGTTTAGAGAAAATAAATTATAGGAGGCTGGATGCATCTGGGGAAGATTGGTGGTTCTAATCAAGTGGTCCGCAATATTCAAGATCGAAAATATGAACGTTGAAAATATGTTCTATCAAAACTCGGAACTTATCCAATATAACCTCCTATATAAGCCAATCAAGAATCGAAAACAATTGGCATGATCACGTGTGTGTTGGCGAGCTGAAGTCGTGTTTGGTGCCACTCCCGATGAATGAGGTTGCAGCAAGAGTGGTTCAATTGCTCATGTACAGGGAATCCCATTGTCGAGGGTCTTTCAACACAGGTTGTGGTCCTATATATCTAGTGTTGGCATGTTGTATCCGACTTGATTTGATCTCCCGGAGGTTATTTCTCCTCTCTTGATTCAGGATTTCAGTTTGTAATCTCTTCTTGGAATTCAATTTTTTTCAAAGTGTAATACAAATTAGCTCGTTATAATAATAATAATAATAATAAAACGAGGGATCAAGCAAGCCCTTGCCCTCCAATAATAGGATCTAACTCCATATATTATTCCATGTATATAGCTAAAATAGGTTCCACAAAAGTCCGGCTAGATCCTCACATTGACCGCAAAACCATGTAGCAATTAATATTCTATATGATAAACGAGAGATCCAATGTCCCATGATCCATCTGTCAGCCAGTTTTCCCATAAATACCTCGTCGTCTTCCTTACGGGAAAATCATTGAATCAAATATATATTAAAAAAAAAAAATAAGCAGCACCAAGAAAGACAAAAACAGAGATCAAATTAAAATTAAAGAAAAAAATCTGAGTGGAGATCAAATTCTTAGAATCATGATGATGGAATAATTGACAATTTAAAGAATAAAAACATTTATGTGGTTTACTAATGTAATATAATATGTGTTAGTTAGTTCACTGGTATTAGAGAGACAGTTTTACTATAATTGAATAGATTACATATTAGATTATTATATGAGAAATATATATAGTACTTCTCCAAACTGCCTGACCATAATCCAATATGGTAAAATAGAAGGAGACCAGCGTAGGGCCGAGAAATATACTATACTTGATCAAACAAATGACAGTTTTACCTAAAAAAAGAAATTGTACCTCCAAGTAGGGCTGAAAATTGCCTTGACCCGTTTCTGACCCGTCTCTAAAGGGTCAAGATATATAACTGACCCGTCCCGTCCCGTCCCTGTCTACTTCTTGACCCTGTCTGACCCTTAAGGGTTGGGATGGGTCAGTGGGTCGACCCTAATCTACACACTACTTTATTATACATGATATTTTGGTACCAAAAATTATTTTTATTACGATTTAGTACCTACTTTTTATTTTACAATAAGCCCTTAAATTTTGATGGTAAAATTACATTCTGGTATCCAATTTTTTTAATTTTTACAATTTAATACCTAAACTTTTAATTTTTTTACAAAGAGGTCTAATGTGGCATGAGATATTTGTTGTTATTAAGTGTCATAGGGTCAAAAAATGAACCGCCCCTAAGTTGACCCGTCTCCCGACCCTTATAGGGTCAAAAGCTGACCCGTTCCTAAACTAACCCTATAGACAAACTGCCCCGTTCCGACCCTCAATAGATTTTTAGGGTAAAAACTTACACCCCTACCTGGAAGTGTAATGTATTGAGATATGAAACCGTTAGTGACATTGCTTACTCTGAACCGTTTTGACTGACTTGGAAATGGAATCTTAAGTCGACCTTCATGGAAAGAAATTAGTTCTCTTTCTCTTGCTTATTGGCCGGATATAGAGATCCATTTAGTTGAATTGGCCGGATATGGATCCGATTTCAGAAAACCACCCGCGATACCAGCTGTCGGCGGGTGGAGATATAGCCGGTTTTCGAAAGGATACGGTTATTGGATTTTCATCATAATTCTCTGCACTTATCTGCCTTGGACTTTTGTGCGACAGAAATGGACTAAGTAAGTTTCCCCCTTTCACACATTGCTACCATACTATCTTTAGTATGAATAGCAACTCCTATCCATCCATTTATGAACATCACGGTTTGATAGATTTATTGACTTGTGTTACATTTCACGACGAGATATTTGGTTCATCCTGTTTCTACTCATCATCGCTTTACAAGAAATTTCATTCATATGGCGACTGCCGACCAATCAATTTCTTTATTCTATTATTCAGATTCTCAAAGTATTAGAATTGACCATATTTGGAAAACGATTTATATTTTAGTGTTAAGTCAAATTCAACAATGGGTTTAATTTTTTTTTTCTAATACACATTGAAATGAACACAACGCATACATTTTGAGTTGGTTTCCAATCTGGTCAAGGGGCTAGTAGCTCTCTTCAATATTCTAATGGAACCTTCTTCTTCACAATAAATACATCAAACAACATTTCTAATGGAACCCATTTTCCATTCTGGTTCCCACTATATGCTAACATGGCACCCATGTTCTCCCATAATATTTTTAGTTTAGTTTATTCTTTGGCCTAATAATTTGGTCTTAATTATGTTGTTTAATAACAAAACAACACTCCACCCCACTCCTTAAACCATCATCATGCCCTAAAAAAAAATACAATACAAATCAAAATCCCTTGGATTCCACTTCTCCAAATTACATCACGAAAGTTCCACACACAATCAACCAACTTGGCTCACTCACTCACTATAATGATAAAAGTTTTGGCCTAGCTAGCTTCCATCTTTCTCTAACTTATTTAGTTGTAAGAATCCACAAAAAAGAACCAAATTTTTCTTTCTTATTTTGACTATATATTGGAACAAACTTTCCATATTTGTTATTGAGGTGTGCATGTTCTAGTTAGTAGTTACTCATTTTTGTTCATATTTGCTTTAAGTAGTACACAACCCATTTTAGCATATTTACTTGTGTACACACATAAACCCAATTAAGCCAACATTACAATCTCATTTTAGGATGGGTGTGAACTCATCATACAAAAAGTTTCATTATTAATCATGATACTAAATATAAAAACGGGTATCACAATCTGGATCATTACTGCTTCAGCCTATAAACACGTTTTTTATACATGTTAAACTTTCAGATGTGATGTAAGTAAGAAAGTCATAGTATGCGGTCTGCCTAAACGATTAAGGTGTTGGACTGCAATTAATGGAACATACCATTTCCTCCAAAATTTACAAACTCTTTATTAATAATTTATGTCACGACACAAAAATGCATGATATATCACATCACCGATTGCACATATAGTACCAAAAAAAAAACAATTTCTACAAAATCTACTCGATCGAGTAGTACCCGAAAACCTTTTATACCACACCCCCAACATATTGATCAAGACTTTCCCTAAAAAAAAAAAACATATTGATCAAGACTTTGTAATAACAAATAAACCAACAAATGTTAACATATGACCTAATAGAGTTCCTCTATGGAATTTAGTGAAAATGAATCAAATCCTCACAACCAAAACCAAGTATTTTATTCTTCTAAATACCCTTCAAAAAAACCAAAACAACAAATTTCTAGCACAAATAGGGAAAAATTATATTCCATTTTGTCCTCTGGGCCGACGGCCCGTCCTTTGTTTTTTAACGCGTTCACGCGTTTTACAGTTTTACTTGTCGTCTTCCTTTTCTCCTTTCAAGCTATATATATCCCTCCCCTTCTCTTTCCCTTTCTTTAGCAGGTGCAGGAAAAAGAAGAAAAAAAATCCACCTCTCAAATTGGAAACAAAAAATCCCCAATTTTTCCGCCATTGTTAACCCTGCATCTGCTTAATTCCCTTCCCTTTCCCACCCATCAAGATTTCTTCCCGCAATCCAGCAGATCGACGAGCCAGGCACCAACCCGACGGCGACTTCGGCGGCGGCGGCGGAGGAGGAGGAAAGGAAGGATAAGAGGAGTCAAGTCTTTCTTTAGGTATGCCGTCGCTTGAGGAGCAGCTGTTTCCATCGACGCCGGGGAAGTTCAAGATCGACCGGAGCAGCCATCATCACGCGATGAACCGGCAGTTCCACCGCTGCTTCTCCTCCACCAGCACGATGTTCTTGTGGGCGCTCTTCTTGATCGCCCTGACGGCGTCGTACCTCAGCTTCCAGAGCTTCGTCGATTCCGGGAGCAAGTACTTCACCGCCTCGTGGGGCGGGGTCCAGTGGGAGAAGCAGGTGCGGAATTCGGCCCAGATCCACCGCGGCGGCGGGATGTCGGTGCTGGTCACCGGCGCGGCCGGGTTCGTCGGCAGCCACGTCTCCCTCGCGCTCAAGAAGCGCGGCGACGGCGTCGTCGGGATCGACAACTTCAACCACTACTACGACCCATCCCTGAAGAAGGCGCGGAGATCGATGCTGGCGGAGCACGGGATCTTCGTCGTTGCCGGCGACATCAACGACGGGAAGCTCCTCGCGAAGCTGTTCGACGTCGTGGGCTTCACCCACGTGATGCATCTCGCGGCGCAGGCAGGGGTCCGGTACGCGATGGAGAATCCCAATTCGTACATCCACTCCAACATCGCCGGATTGGTCACCCTCCTCGAGATCTGCAAATCGGCAGAAACCCAGCCGGCGGTGGTCTGGGCGTCGTCGAGCTCCGTCTACGGTCTCAACGAGAAATCCCCCTTCTCCGAATCGGACCGGACCGACCAGCCGGCGAGCCTCTACGCCGCGACGAAGAAGGCCGGAGAGGAAATCACCCACACCTACAATCACATCTACGGCCTCTCCATCACCGGATTGAGATTCTTCACGGTGTACGGTCCCTGGGGCCGACCCGACATGGCGTACTTCTCCTTCACCAAGAACATTTTGCAGGGGAAGCCGATTACCGTCTACCGGGGCAAGAATCGGGTCGATTTGGCCCGGGATTTCACCTACATCGACGACGTCGTGAAGGGGTGTTTGGGCTCGCTGGACACCGCCGGGAGGAGTACCGGGTCGGGCGGGAAGAAAACGGGTCCGGCGCCGTACCGGATCTTCAACCTGGGGAACACGTCGCCGGTGACGGTGCCGACGCTGGTGAGCATACTGGAGAGGCATCTGAAGGTGAAGGCGAAGAAGAAGGTGGTGGAGATGCCCGGGAACGGCGACGTGCCGTTCACCCACGCGAACATCAGCTCTGCCCGGCGGGAGTTCGGGTACCGGCCGACGACGGATCTGCAGACCGGGTTGAAGAAGTTTGTTAAATGGTATCTCGCGTATTACGGCCATAATCACGGGAAAGCTGTAAATTGACCAAAGAAGACGAATTTCTTCGGGAATTATATTTTTTTTCTCCTTTTCTTTTTGTACTGTTAGGAGACTGAGAGAAAGAGAGAGAGAAAGGAAAGGTGGGGGAAAGAAATGTCAAAATGTGAAGAAGAACAAACAAACCAAGAAACTTTGAAGATTTTTTTTTGTTTTTCATTCGAGAAGTTGGCAAAAATGGCACATTGTGAATTCTTTCCTTAATGAAAAATCATCCTTTGATTCAACGAGTTACCAGGAAAAGTTTGATCATAGAGAAGAGTGTTATTTACGGTATTCTAAGATCGATTCAATTAGGCATTTTCTAGGTGTACGTATTGAAGTATATGACAATAAGGAAGAGTTTTTACCGAAATATGAGACTGTGTTGGAATTCGATATTGTTGCATGTGCACTGACCGTCGAGGTACACGTTCCTCATTGGCAAAATCATGGTCCTATTGAATCGAATTGGGTTATCTCATCTAACTTAATCTTCATGAACGAAATCAACTCTTTTATCGGATGAAGTTTCTGTTTTCCGAAGCTATTCCAATCTCAAAGGGCGAAGGGCAAAAACTTCTTCATTCCCATGACAGTGTGTTTTTGTCGACAATGAAACTATGTTTCTCACTAAAGCGTCTCAAAACTCAATCGCGTTAAGACATTTGGATCGATCCTTGTTCTCAATTGAACCAACCGATACGTCGTGATGATGGGGAAATCCGAACTTGTGAATTGATGGTTGGGAATCATCACGGTACGGCGAATTTAACCTGCACTGTGCTGATCACTGTGACAGGCGAGATGCCCAAAATGAGAAAGGAGAAGGAGAAGGAGACAGACAGCTAAGGAAGAAAAGGACACAGCCGTGATATACAGTTCGAGACAGAGAGATAGACAGATAAGGCATTCATTAACAAATAAGGCCGTGGATCAGAGGGCAGAGGATTCAATTCATTCATTCATGCCATCGATTATTAGCTGTAAAAGCTTCGCCGGGGAATAAATGAACAGTAAATAGCAGTGAGCTGCCTGTGATGTGATTGTCTGTAGAGCGAATCAATTTAAGCTGGACGATTGATGATTAGGGATGACAATAGGTCGAGTTTCTCTAAACCCAAACCCAACACAGTGTGTGCACCCATTAAAAAACTCCGGTAAAGTACACGTAGGACGAACAAGACAGTAACATTGTTTCTAATTGAAGAATTTCAGGCATACAAGAGATGGAAGAAAACTAGTGAATGGTGAGCTCAGGGTCTGTTCTTTTGGTCCACAAGGTCAGCAAAAGTTATGCAAATTTCAACTGTATTCCCTTTTCAGCTACTTACCTTTTCTTCTGGATGCTATCTCCAAGGCCCAGGCTTTTCCTACATCTGTCTGAAACTTGCCTGCAGATTACACAGACAAAAGAACCGACATTCGATTACATTAGTGCTTGCGTTGTAAGTCCAGAGCTAGCTGAGACATAGGCAACATTAACACAATAGGGGCGAATCACAGAAGGGAAAGTTTAGATACCAGCAGTTGACTGGAAGAATTCCTCCAAATCCTTTCCTTGCTCTGCAAATGTAGAAAGGCAGGGCTTTAGATCAACTTCTGCAAGTGTCGTTTCGAAATAATAGCCTTGGTAGGCACAGAGAGCTCACCATTTTCGTATTCTAAAACCTGAAGTATCATCTCCACCTGGACGAGGAACAAAGGAACGTGCTTTTACATTATTAAGTGAAAGCTATAATCAGCCATGAAAAGGGAAGCTTCTCATCATAATCACCACAACCATTCAATAGAAAAGGAATGCTCAAAGAACAGAATTCGACTACGATTATCATGAACATATGTCAGACACACTAGGCCACCCCAATTGAAAATACCTTGTCAAAGTCCTTCACCATCTTGGCTTCAGGGGAAGAATTATCCTCATACTCTTTCCATAACTGTGCTATCTCCTCAGCTACAAAAAATTGACACATGAGGCACACTGAAACGAACCGATCACAAATTCACCAAGATGGAGTAATGTCCGTCTCTTCACTTCCTTCGGAGTAATGTCCCCCACAATAGCTGATCAAAGAAAGATAGCACATTGGACACCAATTCATTAGCTTTCTTCCCATTTCCCACATTCAACAGTTCATTTCTTCATTTCTTCATATGATACCTTCAGCTATATCATGAACAATCGCCATTTTCACACACCTGAGAGCAACAGTGTATCATTCATTACACATCAACCAAATGCTCAACATTGAAACTGAGACCAGCAAGATTAAAAACAAGAAAAAAGCAACCGACTTGTCACGGTTGATGCCAGGAATGTCTGGAAGAATCAAACCCATTAATCACATTCAGTACATATGATCTATCAGCTATGGATTACGGATCCCTAACATCCCTCTTCACCCATCCAGCCCTGTTCGTCGTCTGAAATCGGCGTCCCCAATTCAAAAAACCCCGCAATCAATTTGCAGCTGAAGAAGCAAAAGAATTAAACTTTACAGAAGCAGAGCGCAAACCAAGCGGACCCACGTTTGCTCTACCTTCAAGCGGTGGCAGAAGGAGAGGAAATCAATGGCGGAAGAGGAGGGCGGCGGCGGCCATGCGATGGCGATTGGAGCGAGACGGGGAAGTGGAACCGAACGAGCTGAACCGGAATCGAATGATACTGGGCCACTTGTGAGTGCAGTCCAGCCCATCAATGTATCAAAGTTTATTTTTCTAAGATTAACATCAATAATTCAATATATCAAACTTTGAGTGATACTGTGATACATCAAACAATTATTATTATGGTTCCTATTTTGTTTGCATATGCAACCTAAACATCTTAAATTAACTAAATTTTGAGTTGTATTTACTTTGTATATCATACAATGTTAAAATTAAGTAAACATATATAGGAGTTTAATATGCAACCTTAGCATCTTATATTTTCGATTTTGTGCCAACTTTTCATGTTTACTAGACTATATGAAAAAAAAAAGGGATCATGTTGGTTCGAAATTTACGACCTTGACATTTCAGATGAACCAAATTTTGAGTTGAATAAGGGCTCATGTTGTTCAGGAGTTTACGACCTTGACATCTCATATGAACTAAATTTTGAGCTTTATGCATTTTTATACATCAAACGATATTAAAAATTAGGTTGAATTATCTAGGTGAGATTACCTAAAGTATGAGTTGTAACAAATTTCTTATATAAGAAAGTAAATAATAAAAATTATCTCATGTAGATCTCAAACCTACTACCTTGTCATTATTAACATCATGCTCTAACCAACTGAGCTAATCAACCATTTGCATTTTAGATTATCCTCTTATATTTCTAATCATATTATTCACTACTCATGGAAAGACTTAATTTTGGGTAAGGATAATCTTGCCATGGAAAAAAAAAAAAGCAATGACATAACAACAATGCATCATTCCCCCAAAAACCAGCTCTCATTCTTAGTTTGCCTTAAGTTAGTTACAATGGCTACAAGCTTGAATTTTAGGGTTGATTTGAATTGGTAACAAATGGTTCTTCCAAATCACCTATGGAGTCCTTCTCCTTCTTCTTCTCACTCTCTCCCAAATCCTTGGCTTTTCCCCATAGCACCATGTACAGGCCCATTATCACTGCTACAGCTCCCATCAGCCTGTTCAAAGTATTGCAATATAACAACACCAACAACAACAAAAAAAACCCAAATTAGTGTTCTGGTTTAACACTATTCGAGTATAAATGCAATCCTTATCGAATAAGGATTCATTACTCTCCAGTGTAGACTTTCTCGTGGAGGAAAGTGGCAGCAAAGATGGCTGTGGTGACTGTGCAAAGAGGGTTGGAAATGGCTGTGAAGATTGGGCCTCTCTGTGAGACACACCAGGCTTGACCCACAAATGACATTATCAAGACGGCTCCCTATGATAAAAAAAAATGATTTTCACATAAGAAAGTATTATGTTGGCCGAAATGGGCGTATTCACAAGTTGATGTCGTTTGATTGTTCACTAGAGTATTTTTAGTCTTTAAAAAGATAATGTATAAAGTTCTACTTATAGAAGTTTAACGATCATTTCATTTTTATAAAAAAAATATAAAGTTTTACTTATAGAAATATGGACATTGATACTAATTTAATGTGCTTACACTGTAAAGACAACAACCCAATTCAAATATGGAATGTAGTTTCCACGCTGACACGTCGTTCTCCAGAAACAGAGCTACTATTGCTGATTGCAAAGTAGCAAGGAAACACAACCAGGTTGATGAATACACAAGGTCGGGACAGGTTGCTCCTATTGGAATCTGTCACATGAAAACAAATCGTTTATGAAAATGATGATACGAAATTTCAATATAATATTCGAGTCATAATACCTGAAAAATTATCCACAAAGACCAGCAAAAGCTAGCTGCAAACAGAAGAAGGCATCCCAAAAACCAGTCCTTATTGTCCGATGAAGCCATGAAAGAGTCATTCAAGAGCTTAGGTCCCTTGAGGAAAGCCATGGCCATTGCTCCACCAACACAGACGAAAGTCCCCAAAAATTTGACACCACTTCTCAAGCTTCTTATGTTAACCATCTCCATCCTTAATCCATAGTTAACATTCAAAATAATAAAAAAAGAAAAATGTTCACAACAGTAGTCCAAAATGAAATTTAATCAATTCAATTGTGCAACCTAGTTTCTCTCACCTCAAAATTGCTGCTAGGGCGAAAGTGATTGCTGGGATGAGATCGGTCATTGCACTTGCGACAGTGGAATTAGACAAATTGATCCCTTCGAAATACGCATTCTGATTCAACGTCACCCTACACAACTCATTCGTCGAAAACCACGTAAATTTCAACAAAACCCCACGCGTGAGAGAAAAACAATAAACTCTCATAAACGTAGACACGACTTGTGGAACAAAAAATGTAACATGTACCCGAAGAGAGCGGCAGCAAATATCCAAGAGAAGCTCCCCATAGTCAATGAAACCACCCCACTACTCCTGTTTCATTAATGTCCAAAGACGACATTGGCATTGATTACAAGAAATTAAATCACACTACCAAAACAGGAAGTGATTCAATCAATTTTAATTACCTTCTTCTTCTTGAGAAGCAAGCCACAGGGACCATGATCAAGGTGGCCACGGCTTGTCTGTAAACAACAAGTACTCTGGGGCTCATTCCACCGGTGAAAGCTGCTTTCGTGAAGAGAACAAGCCCTGAATAAGCACACTGCAAAGTGATCATCACCATTAATGGCTTGTAACTTGAAGAAGAAGAAGAAGAAGATGAAGAGGAACTCATCTTTCTCCTCCTCTCTTAGCTAGCTATGGTAGTTTCAATGGTCTTATATGAATTTACTTCACGCAGCCACCATTTTTGTAGCATTTTCGAGTACTCTCTTTCCTACTCAGCACTCGCTTTCAGCCAACTCACTCAAGTACAATAATAGTCTCGTCAATTTGGCAATTTGCACAATCAATTACTCACCCGGTACCATATGTCGGTTCAAATTAAGGCGAGCTATTTGGTCCCGGGTTTTTGACCGAACCGGAAATCAGATAGTAAAACCAAGTCTGGTTGCAACCGATAACCGGATGCAAGCCATTCGTATCCGGATTACGATTGTGAGAAATGGTGAAAAATCGGAAAGTCAAAAAAATTGGGAACACAGTCGGTCCACTCCAACAATTTCATAGGGCCTATGACCCGGCCAAGCCGACCCAATTTTGCAGACGAGACTCAAATGGTCGAATCTCCAATCCTAAACCCCTAATTCTTCCTTCACTCTAGCTCTCATGGAAATAATTGATTTGGGTGAGCATAAACTTGACATGCAAGAAAAATTAATGATATAATAACAGCAATGCATCATTTCCTCCAAATCACCTTTCATCCTTAGCTTGCCTTGATTTACAATGGCTTACAATCTACAAGCTTGAATTTTAGGGTTGGTTTCAATTGGTACCCAAAAACTTCAAGGTCTTACAATTCAGTTGGTTTATCAGTAAGAAAGGGTTCTTCCAAATCACCTATGGATTCTTTCTCCTTCTCCTCCTTCTCACTCTCTGCCTTCCTCAAATCTTTGGCTTTTCCCCATAGCACCATGTACAAACCCATGATCACTGCCACAGCTCCCATCAACCTATTCAAAAGCATTAATGCAATATAACAAAAGGAAACCCAAAATTAGTGGTCTGGTCCAAAATGGTTTTGACGCCATTCTAGTATAGGTGCAATCCTAATTGGATCAGGATTCATTACTCTCCAATGTAGGCTTTCTCGTGGAGGAAAATGGCAGCAAAGATGGCTGTGATGACTGTGCAAAGAGGGTTGAAAATGGCTGTGAAGATTGGGCCTCTCTCTGAGACACACCAGGCTTGACCCACGAATGACATTGTCAGGACGGCTCCCTAAAAAAAACAACCCTTTTGAGAAAGGTGCTACATACTTACTGCAAAAAATACATGTTAATGATGATTGTATTTTACATATTAAAATCTGCAATCACCTTATTTTAAGGAGTTGTAGGAATTCGCTACTTACCGATATATATCGTCATATTGACAAAAAAGAAAAGTAGTCACGTTAATCTAATAATTGAAAACCTGTGATGACCTCCATCTCGAACAAATGACACGTATACATAGTATATAGTATAGATACGTTTTTATTAAAAAACATGAGGAGTTGTATATGCGAATTAAACTATGAAAAATTGTTTTTGAGCTTACACTATAAAGGCAGCAACTCAATTCGAATGTGGAATCGAGTTTCCAGGCTGACACATCCTTCTCCAGAAATAAAGCTACTATTGCTGATTGCAATGTAGCTAGGAAACACAACCAGGTCGACGAATACATGAGGTCGGGACATGTTGCTGCAATTGGAACCTGTCACATGAAAAACAAGTTGCTTCATGCTTGTGAAGATGATACAAAATTTTCAAATATGATATCCTACTCACATTTCAAATGATATTTTTTCATATTTCTCTTTCACAAATCTATGTACTTATCATATTATAGCAATTGTTTTGGTGTGGTTGAACACAGTTACTTCCTAATAATGAGATTACCTGAAAAATTATCCACAAAGACCAAAAGAAGCTGGCTGCAAATAGAAGAAGGCATCCCATCAACCAATCCTTATCATCCGAAGAAGCCACAAATGGAGAGTCATTCAAGAGCTTAGGTCCCTTGAGGAAAGCCATGGCCATGGCTCCACAAACACATATGAAAGTCCCCAAAATCTTGGCACCACTCCTCAAGCTTCTCATGTTAATAATCTCCATCCTTAATCCATAATCAACATTCATAATCATAAAATTGTTCACAATAATAATCCAAAATGAAGTTTAATTAAACCAACTAGCTAGTTTCTCCCACCTCAAAATTGCTGCTAGTAGAAAAGTGATTGCTGGGATGAGATCCGTCATCGCACTTGCAACGGTGGAATTGGACAAGTTGATCCCTTCGAAATATGCGTTCTGGTTCAACGTCACTCTGTGCATACTCATCGGCCAAACCACGTCAATTAAAAAAAAAATCTACACAATAAAATAAAGCTTTAACAGTAAGACACACCGATCGAAATAACATATATGTACCCGAAAAATGCGGCAGCAAATATCCAAGAGAAGCTCTCCAATGTCAATGAAACCACCCCACCACTACCTGGATTAATGCTCCTGTTAATTTTCCACCACAAACAACACTTGCAATGATTGATACAAGTAACCATACAATCAAAATAGGACAGTACTTAATTGATTCCCTATGTGGATTTTGGATATTAATTACCTTCTTCCTCCTCTTCTTGAGAAGCAAGCAATAGGGACCATGATCAGAGTGGCCACAGCTTGTCTGTAAACAACAAGTACCCTGGGGCTCAATCCACCTGTAAAAGCTGCTTTTGTGAAGAGAACAAGCCCAGAATAAGCACACTGCAAGGTGATCATCACCATTAATGGCTTGTAACTAGATGAAGAACCCATCTTTCTCTCTATATCTAGCTATAGCTTTTGATATCTGCAGCTCTTAAGAGGCACCATTTTGTAGCATTTTCTTCAACTATACTGATCTCTTTCCCCTAATGAAGCCACTTGTGCTCTCAGCCAACTCATATCCAGTAATGTCAATCAATTTGCTGAGTCAGTAGTTAAACTGATCGAGGTCCATATCCCATGTGTTGTTATGGGTCCAAATCAATAAAAGTACTTTCACCAAACCCAAATCAATCAATGGCGTGGCTGTCTTCTTCGCCAATAATAACACAAGCTTCAATGTGGTGCTTAGAAGAAGATGGAAACACGCACCTTTCTTCAATGCTGAAACCAATCACACCAGTTAAGGTCCAAAGAAGAATAGTGTTCAGGGTGGAAAAAGTCTTGATGAATTGAATGATTACGGTCCCTTTAGTTATGATGAACATTTTTTGAACGATGGTGTTTGGTATTTATGAAACTTACCTGAATATACGAGTCATTTGGTTTCTCTAATTGTTTTATCGAGAGTGTTACCGTGTTTGCATTCTTTAGAATGGATTGTTTTTATTTTTTATTTTTATGCACACAATACAAGTATTATTTGCGCGAGGTGATAGAAACAAGCAGTCAAAATTCAACGGTAAAAGGAAAGAAATAACTTCAAAATTAATTATTGTACAATTCCAGCTTTTAGGTGAGACAGTTGTGATCCTTGGTTTTTCCTCCCGTTTTATCCTTCAAAAAGTACATTGTGGATTGCAAAAAGGGATACTAATGACATTTTCATTTAAGAATGACCTTTCTTTTCGATTATTAAAAACAAAATCTCAGATTTTGCAATCACTACACCAAATTTATCAATACATTTAAAGATATATTGATCAAAACCCATCAATTTAACAACACAAAACCCAAACGATCTCCTAATCTACTTTATATGCAGATTCTTTAAGAGCTCCGGAACTACCACTACAAAACTGTTTAAGAAATAAGAGCTACATGATTATTGCTTACATTTCAAGGAGCTAGTCCATTTCTTATGGACCCTCCACCCTTTCCATGAATAGCAGTTCCAAATCATTCATAATAAAAGAGAGCTCCACAACTATTATCTCTTTAAAAGAACAAGTTACAACTTTACTGTTTGGTAGAGTCACATCCCGTCACTGTTACTTTTTAGCTTTTTACTTTTTCTCATCATTTCTCACTTGACTTTAACTGTTTTGCTTTTTCTGACCAAAGGGAGACTTTTTATTACTTATCCCTTCTTTCTTCCTCATGTCTAATCCCCCATTCCTCTCCATCTTTCTAGATCTGCTTTCTCTCTCCTTCTCTCTTTTGTGCTGAACGACGAAGAAGAAGCAAGGTGAAGAAGAAGAAAAGGAAGATCGAGACATGGGTGAAGCAGAACATGGAGGAGATCACAGAAGAATCCGGCGAAATAGAGCACCAACCGGAACTCACAGATTATCCATCAAGATAAAGTCGGTTCCTTTCTTCTAGATTTTTCTGGGTTTTTGTTCAATATCGTTCTTGGAGTTCTTCCTGCTTCCTGTTTTTGCTTCTGATTCTTGTTTTTTGTGATAAAGTCGGTTCCTTTCTTCTAGGTTTTTCTGGGTTTTTGTTTCTGATTCTTGTTTTTAGTGTTGTTTGCGGAGATGGACGAAGAAGGAAATGACCGAAGAAAATGGCGTCGACGGGATCGATGATGCTGCCTGGTGCGGATGGAGTGTTGTCGCTGCCTCTACTGAACCCTTTGTTTTCTAAATGGATTCATCGAACTTAAATCCACGCCGGTGCTGGGCTTGCGTATGGGATACAGGTTGAAGGGTGAGTATCGAGCCTCTTTTTCGGTTTTTGATTACTTTTAGGGTTTTGAATTTTGCTAAAAAGTTGTTTTCCTAATGGATTCATCAACCCTTTTCGGCAGAATCTCAGGTCCCGATCTCTCTCTCCTCTGCTGAAGAAGAAGAGGGGGATTGTTGATGCATAGGAAGAACATAAAGTGGATATGCTTCTAGATCGATTCAACTTTTCTCACTCATCTGTGTTCATCTTCTTAGTTGAAACCATCACCACCATTGAAGTAGCAGAAACCGACAAAGAAACGACGGGGATCTCAGTTCTCGAATCCCCTTTTGGCGGAATTCCAGGTTTGAATCTCTGCTTCTCTCCTGTCGTTGAAGAAGAAGAGGAGAATCGTTGGACAAGGGGAAGAAGATGAAGAGGAAATGCTTCTTAATCGATTCTGTCTTTCTAAAATAGCCTTTTCTGGCTCAGTACCAAGAAACCCAGCCCTTCTCAGTTGAATGACAATTCTCAGTCCCTTTTTAGGTAGCTTCTATTTTATGCTGACAAGGAATTTTGACCTTTCATCAATTTGAGAGGACCATGTCCTCGATGGCCAGGGTCTGCGTGCAGTACTGTTTGCCAGTGTTCGGTTTGGATGTGGCATAGTGAAGGAAGAGTTCTGCCCGGAGGATTTGGTAGGTTACGGAGGAAACGACAAAAAAGTTCAGCAAAAGTGGGGATGGGAGAGTAAGAGTTCAGGAAGTCAGTATCCATTTTAAAGATGGGTTATATGGTGGTGAAGTCAGGGAGGATTATTGGTTCCCCATCCTCACTCCTTTTCTAGAATCCCTAATCCCACAACTTATCTCATTGATTAATTCTGTGTAGCAAAGTAGAATCATGGAGGCAATGGATGGAAGATGCAGTTGATTCTATTTGAAACGGACTACGACCAGCCAAGTGAAAAGGAGTTATTCTTTCACTCATGATCATGCTGTATCCTGTACCTACGACAGTAGAAGAAGAACAAATCCTTTGAATCGCATTCCAGTGTCATATTCGGCCATAGGTGGTGAGCTTTCTCCTTTCCTCTCTTAATCTTACTTTTATTTTTTCTTTACTTAATTTGCCGGTTTCAACTGGATATTCTTCCTCTCTGTTGCTAATTATCCACGGTCGGCGTTGGGAATTTTGCTCGCAGGCTTTTCAGCAGCAGATAGCTTTTGTCCATCCTCTGCGGTTTCAGTTCTCTCTCATTTTTGGGTTCATAGATTTTCGACCTTGAAATAGTGGAGAAGCCATGATGATGGATCAATTGAATTTGGTTTCTTTGGCTTCTGAGTTCGTATAGGACCTGAGGAAAGGTGTCTAATTTCCTGACTGATAATTTGTAAACTGATCTTGGATCTCACAGAAATTGACTGCCCGATTCAGCTCAAGCTTCACTTGCTGCACATCTGGCCCTTGCAGGCTCCCTCGCATCCTCACAAGACCTTCTGCTATTGCATCTCCAATGCGACAAAATGGTTAGTGCTCCCAGTGGTTGTACAGAACTAGAAATCAAGCAGTATGTGTTCATGTGGTTTTTAATGGGAATGGATCACAGGGTCTTCATTTATGGGTATTGAGCTCACTCCAATACTACCACGCAAGAAACAATAGTGTTTTGTTAAATAAAAATGTTATTTTCTCATCATTGAGTAGTTGAATGGTGTGTTAAGTTGTGTTGCCTCTTCAAAAGACAGTGTCACTCTGCACATTAGCAAGAAACATGGGACAAAGCTGCGTGGAGATTACCCTTGCCTTTAAATAGAGGAATTTGGAGTCTGAATCCATTGTTTGGGTGTCGACTCTATCACCAAATATGTGGCAGCAACAACAAATATGATTTTGCTGCAAATATCTGATTCATTCTCCTCTCTTTTGTTTATTTATGTTTGCTGTCATAGTTGGTGAGGTTGTTGTTGAGAGATAAAAAGTAAATTTGGGACCTTGGTGGTTGTTGTTAGTTCTGTCCATACTGAGCTATGTTTGGTTCATTCATCTTAAAAGAACTTGAATTTTTGCAGGTAAAAGATTCATGCCATTTGTAACCTACATCAAGAACTTCCCATCATTAGCTTCGGAGAAAGGTTGATGTTGATTTAGCAATAGAGAATTTGGCATCGAAGTAACCCAAATAGCCTGATGAAACCTTGAATCGATTGTTATTTTTCAGGTTAAGTGCACCACTTGAGCTCAAAGTTCCCTTTGTGTCGATGCAACTATTTTGTTATGAACACAACTGATGCACTTTGTGGTCTCCTACCTGTACCATTTGTTATCAAATTTCCGAAGTAGCCGTGGTTTTTAAAGAAAGCTGGCCTCTGTTATGTATTTGCGTTGATTTTTATTCCAATTTTATGCTCTGCATCTTCAGTCAGTCCCAAACTAATGAACAATACTCCAATCTCAGATATTGCATCCCTTTCTCGGGTCTAGGTGAAATCCGAGATTCAGAATCCCGATCCCTTGCTTCCAGTCCCTCTCAATCCCAGGTAACTGACTTTATAAGTTCAATTCATTACTACCTGTTCAGTTTTGTCTATTGATATGCCTTGGGGTTGTTCCTCGAATTTGTTGTTTGGTTTGTCGTCGAAGACTTCAGGTAAGCTATTGTTACTTTGATTCTTTCCCTTAATTTGTGTACTTCCGTCCTTGATCATGGACCATATATTTTCTTGGTTTTTCATTATAGCCACATGGACTGCAATCCATCCAGAGTTCTTTCGAGGAATCAACTTTCCGGTTCATCAACTTCTGCTCTTATATTCATGCGCTCGAGTCTTGCTTTTTCGGTTACACTGACTTTTACGTTTTAAGTTGGGTCATCTTAAGGTATCCTGACATCTTCTGTTTAGATATTCTCCCATTTTCCTTTGTTTAAACTCATGTTTATTGTTTTTCAAACTCATTGTTACAGTAAGAATCCATTGGCCTGGACGTAGATGTAGTGTTTTATTAATTTCCCTACTTCTAACGAGTGTATTTTATCTACTGCTCTGTTCTTTTGGGGGTTTTCACATGTTCTGCTCCTGCCTTTAGCTTTGTGGGTCTGTTGGTGTGATGTTCAACATTGTTGGGGAAGCATTTATTGGTTTTACTTAGTTTGATTCTGTTGGCTCGGGAGGTAGTGATAGCGATGAACTGTAACTGATTAATACTAGGGAGAGAACTATTCATAGCGACTGATCCCAAATGAAGAGTTCTCTTGACAGGGGTTATACATTAGCTTACTGGCTACTTTGGTTTGCTCTGCATAAAGTAAAACCTAATCCCATTCTAAGCCATTTGCGAAACTTGAACAGCTTGCACTTAAGGTTACCTTGGGTGCTTAAAACTCCAACTGATTTATTTTACTTATATTGTCACTGCATTTGGTGTTTCTGTTGCAGGGTACCTGATTCGATTATTCGTCCCTAAGGGATGAACATTGGAGGTGACCAATGCAGTCAAAAGCGTGATTCTACCTAGAAGCGGTTGAGCGACCTGGAAGCGTAAAATCGTAAGCTTTTAAGCTTTAAAGCGTAGATTTTTACTACTTTTGCAACGGAAAATTACGATTCTACATAAAAGCGTTTTGGTGACCTAAAAAGGTAAAAGCGTAAGTTTTTGAGTTTTAAAGCGCGATTTTGACTACATTGGAGGTGACAACCAGGGAATTATCGAGAAAGCCTTGCTGTTTAGGTGAAACATTCCCAAGAAAATGACAGAAAAATAGAGGTTGCAACTTTGCTGATCTTTTCATGTGAAGTATGTTTCCCTTTGTCTATACATGGCTCATTAATCATCAGCTAAAGTACGTTGGATTTTTCCGTCCAAGTAGTCCCATGAACATCTGAAAGGAAAGAGTGAAGCCATAACCTCTGTTTCATTGCTACAGGCTGAAAGAAATCTTTGTGCCAGGCCTTACATGTATGAATCAATATTTTATGTGCCTCTAGAGATTGCAGATTCTTAGTGTAAGTTGTTAGCCCCATTTTAGGGTAAATCTCCTTTTTAAACACCTCCCCTCTTCCCATTATAGCAGACAATCTTTGACACTATTTTTTTGGCTTTATTCATCATATTGCTTTATGTTTTAGTTTTGTTCTTTGCGCCTGGATGCTGAATATAAGATGTAGTTACCAGTACCCTTTGCTTTTGTTCCCGTGAAGAGGTATAGGGTGGATCTCCTTCCACTCAAGCTTGGTTACCGGCTTCTTATTAGAAATCATGCATCCAACTTCCATTAGAATGTTTTGACATTACCTGTTTACCCTGTGAAACAAAGTGTAGAGCCTTGAATTCAAGGATTCTATGCAATGCAGTCAGTTTGCTCAAGTTTTCCTTTACTTCAGTGAACCAAATCCGCTTTCTTTAACTTAAACCCTATATGATAGCTATTGTTTTATGAGATTGTCATACATGGGTGATGGCGAGGACATAGCTCTCCGAATTGAGGAAAGACCATGCCCCTTTCACGGCTACCTTTTTATCTCATCCATTGTCACATACAGTCATATATCTAGCCTTATTAATTAGCATGTATACAGTTGTTTCCTTCTTCATCGTGCCTTTATTCTCAATTTCAGAGGGTTTTATTGTGTTCCGGAATGTATCTTGCCTTGCTATAATGTTTTGTACAAGTATTGATCGTACTTCTTTTTCAACTGCATGTGTTCTGCATTCGATGTAGCTCCCAAGCTGTAACATGGTTTCATTATTTCATCATCGATTTACTTTTGTTATTTCTCATTCTAATCACTTTATTTCCTTTTGTTACTCTTTTTGTTGTAGGCAAAAGTGAAGCTAGAGCTTCCGGCGGTGTCTTGGTGTGATGAATGAGATGGGAGCACTGCAGAAGCTATTCGATCTGCTTCCCTGTTTTCAATTCAGGTTTGGCCTGATTTGGGGTTTACCCTCTATTCGCTTTCCGTGCTTTCAGATAGACTCACTCTGCTTAAGTTTCCCTTCTGTTTTTGTTGTGGTGGTGTTGGTGTCAGGTCAGCTCCCATAACGAGACATTTTTATTGTTATATCAGTTTTCCTGCTTTCTTTATCAAGTTCAGAGTTTTTGCAGCTCTCTCTCTCTTTTTACATTGGGTTATTCATTAATATCTTTGCTTGGGTATTTATATGGTCTTAAAATGAGAATTAAAAAAACGCATAAGAGGGTGTTATATGCTTTTGTTACCGTCTCATCTCGATTGTCACTTGCAGGATGCAACCAGCCATACAGAGAGGCCGAGATGAAATGAAGAATTCTGATGTAGTCACAACTGTGGGTTTGTTGTTCAGGTACCATTAATTACTGTGTAGTTCTATTTTGTACATTTTGAGTTGCTTTTTTGTAGGACCTATTGAAAAAACAATGGATTTCTAACTTTGGCAGCTGGCAATCTATTCACTTTCAGCTTTTAGTTGTGCCCTTCTTAATTAGTCAGTGCCTGGAATGGTTCTTCCTATTTATATGGCAATGTAATTATATTGCAAACTTTCCACCTGCCATGCTATGTTCTGGATTGGTGTTGATTCATGAAAATATCCTAGGATCGGTTTAGCTACCTCAATGATGTTACATGGCTGCTGCATTTGTAATTGTTTTGAGTGAAGATTGGATTTTTCTGGTTGTGAAAATGATCGTTGGATGCTTTGATAGAAATATTTGTTTGCTATTACTTGATGAGAGAAATATGGAACTTTGATATTAAAGTAAAAAAGGGTTGATGAATAAGTTGCAATTAATGCATAATTAGAGGACCCTTGGAGTTTACAATTTTATGGAATGTGGGTTATAAGTGTGTGATGAGCTCTTAAAAGGTGTGGAGCCAGAGTTTCGGCCAAGTTTGTCCATTGTTTGACCATCAGTTGTAAATCACATGCTTGCTAGCTTCAATGAGAAACATTGTTCAGAATCAAGCCATCAGGATCCAATATAGGCAAATGCAAGAGCCCTTTCTCATCCTCGGCAGTTAGTTGCTTCCTTTAGTAAGGAAATATTGAGATGGTATAATTAATCAACAACAAGAACATAATTTTCCGTTTATGGTCTTTACTGTTATATGCTCTTTCAGTCTTGCTCCGCATTTGAAAATGCAAGAGCCATTTCTCATCCTTGGCAGTTAGTTGCTTCCTTTATAAGGAAATATTGAGATGGTATAAATAATCAACAACAAGAACATGATTTTCTGTTTATGCTCTTTACTGTTATATGCTCTTTCAGACTTTCTCCGCATTTGAAAATGGGAGAAGTCTTTGTTCTTGATGAAGTTTTGTATTTCCTTTCTTAAATATGGTTTACTTGCTGAGGTGAAGCATTTTTTAAGTTTGAACATTAATTTTCTTCATTAGCCTATTATTTAAATTTTGCCAACCTGATGAAGAAACTCATATGTTGATCCTTACTTTTATCGAATGCAAACCATATATTTCTTTTCGGTGACTTCTTTTTTGTCGATTTTTTTCCCTTTTCGGTTTTGGTATGTTTCGATTTTCCAGTCGTTGGGTTCTGCAATCTAATCAGATTTTCTTTTTGGATTTTCAAGTTCGGTCAAGAGTTAGGATAAGGGAGGAACGTTCACCAGTGTATATTACTGAATGCAGCAGAGGGGATGAGGGCTAGCCACTGGTCTCTGGGTAAGCTTCTTTTTGGATTTGGGTTCTGGGTCTTGCTTTCCTTGATCCGGTTCTGATATGTTTTTGTCTTTAATTTGATTTTAGCAAAGGGAAGAAGAAAAAAAAGTCGATGTAGGCTGTCCCGAAGCTTGTCAGCAACGACAACACCAACGTAGCTGGCTGGCAAAGGTAGGAAATGTTCTAGGTGGCTTTTTAATTTAATTTCCTTTTAGTTTTTAAACATATTATGTGTTTTGATATCTTGCTCTTGCTTAATGTTCTTGCTGAGTGTCATCAAATTTATGGTTGTTCAATTTTGTCTTGCTTTGCTTTAGAGTTGACCTATTGATCTCATTCTGGACTTTTAGGGTGCAATTTCGTCCAATCTTTTGCTCAATGTGCTAGGTATTTGTTTAAAATTTTGTTCATTGATAATATCTTCTTTTGCAGTCGATTAGTAGTATGAATTAGATGGTGCTTCTCTTTCAATTGAGTCTGGATTCAAGAAGCGATTGACTGGTGAGGATGCTTTGACGCAGGCATTGGCCACCATGACTAACTTATAGCAGTGACTATGTTACTGGAGAAATACTCAACATCTTGATCAAGCTGTGACAAGTAATCCTTCAGAGATGATAGTCATTTGTGCATAATCTGAAAGGAGTTCCTTTCTTTCACCAATAGTGGTATGCGGGGAAGCCTCACACAACTGTTATCAGTTCAGACTCTAAAGCGAGGATCCTGCTTAGAAGGTCAAAATCTAGAGGCGTGGACAGGTCACAACACTTCCAAAGAGATTTCAATCTTCATGCTGAGGTAACCGAAAATTCTTGGTCACAATCTCAATACAAAATTTACTGCAATTAGTAGATTTAATCGATCTATAGATGTACCATCTTTGGGTTGCTTTGTAATTAATAAAATGTTTAGGATTACATTTAGATAGTGGTGGAAGGCTGATTGTTACATCTTTACTGCCAATGAACTTGCAAATCATAACATTGGTATAGTGAGAGCTTTATGTATAGAGCAAATCTAGAAGTGTTTGACATATGAAATTTTGCTGTAAACATTACGTTCTTTTACCGCTTTGCACATTCAACCTATATCCTTTTTCCTGTGCCCATGCTTTAACTGTTTAATTGCTCAATGATTCGCAGGTTTAGCTTACTCAGTTTGGGTGCTTACCTTCTAAACAACACATTTTGAAAGTCTTCACCCACTGGTTCCAGCTTAATCCTTTTTTTACAAGGTACTTCCTTGCAATGGTTGTTTAGATATGATTTGATTCGTTTTGAAACTTCTTAGCATTGAGGTTTTGATTGCTTTTCAAACAGATAAGCAATACAAGTTTGGGTTTCAGCAAAGAAGGAAACCATAACAGACAAATCATGTTATTGGGATCGAGGTGAAGACCTGCAATTGGTGCTTTTTAACCTTCTATAGCACCTTCCAGGCATTTTAAAGGCTTTAGTCTCACACTCCGAAACCCAGCTCAAGGTAACCAGAGTTTACACTTTGACTTCGTTATTCCGTTCCCATTTTGGTTTTAAGATTGACCATGTAACTTAACCTTTTTTTACCCTTTCTCAAACCTTTTACAGATATTAAAGATGACTAATGTTTTATCTAATTTCATCCATAATCTTTTGTAGTTAGTATTACAGTAAAAAAAATGAAAGGTCAAATCTTGCTCGATACATTGGTCTGGTGGCCATCACTGTTTGCAAGTTTTGTTGCCTTTATGGTTGCTGTTGTAAGCTCCATTGTATGAGCCTTCCTAGAAATCTATTTAGGTTTGTAGACAGATGCGTGAATGTTGGAGAATTCAGGTGGACATTAATTGTGTGGTAATCTATAGCACTATCAGTGTGATTTTGTCGAGCTTCGTTGGTTTTGATGTGTCAGTTGGGTTCTTAGGAGTGTCGATATGCTTCATTACAACATGTTCTACATCCTAAATGAACAACTTTAGTTACCACATATCTAATGCTCATATTATGTTGTTAGAACAAGGATCGAAATCATAATCCGATCATGCCTGCAATTCGGTAATAATACAAGATGAACAATAGTTTTACTAACCACATATCTATTACTCATATTATGCTTTTAGAATAAAGATTGAACTCACTAATCCAATCATGCCTACAACTCAGGAATAATACAAGTACATATGTTTTGCCATCATGTCTTGGTTAAGGAAAACTTCAGCAGGTTGGTGTCATTCACTGACGTTATAGATTTATGCAAAGAGGTAAGGACTATAGCCTACATATATTTTTGCCTCGGGACCTCTCAGTTTGACTAATTAAGTTCCTTTTACTTCATGTCACGTTCCAGCAGTCTTCTTACAACCTCTGTATGTGTGGTTGGTTTAATCCTTGCTGGAATCCTACCGCCACATAAAAGAAGGTTGAGCTCTTGGAGTTTCAAGGGAAGGTGGATTAGGAAAAGACACTAGAATTCTGAAGTCTCTTCAAATCAGTAGGAAAGGTTAGGTCAGCCGCTATAGTGCTTCATAATCTTGATTTGTCTTGCTTTCATTTAAACTGGTCATGTATCAATATTCAATACTGAACTTAGTCAAAATTTAAGAGCCTGACTTTCATTTGAATGCCAGTTAGCATATTCATTGTTCCATTGGGTTAATTGGATACTTTTTATGTCTGTAGCAGTCACTTATTTTATTTTGCTTTGAGTTTTTATAGTTCAGTAATTCTCAATATAGCCATTTACCCAACACCTTTTGTGCCATCAAACAATCCGCTTTAAATCATTCAAACAGGTGAATATTTGCTTGGGGTCAGTTCTGATTGTTTTCCTGCTGTGTCACAAGGATTCGAACAGGTGCTGCAAGCCTGCAACGGCTAATTTGAATGAAGAACTTGGTCAGGTTGATGGTGTGCTACAGGACAAATGCTCTGCATACATGAAGAAAGTTAAGTAAACCTGGCAGGAGAGTCGGTCTAATAAGTTCAATTGACTTATTGTTAGATTTATCAGGTTTCATGTAGTTTTTTGCCTGAGATATCCGCCCTTTTTGTTTATGTTTATAAATGGGTGTCTGCAATTGAAGTTGCTATCAATGGTGGAACAAAAGTTGCAGAAGATGAATTTGTTGTCTCAACAGAACTACTGGTGTGGCAGTTGCTGAAACTGGATACTAACCAGTCTGAAGGAGAAGCTTCAGTTCAACGGAAAGATCAGGTAGCCATAACTAGAAACCAACGGTAGGTTCTTTGATTAGATTGATACATTTATTCTTGAGTTAAATAACTGGAAATCCAACAACTCTTGAAGTACAACTTCTTGCTATGCTGAAGTTTTTATACTTTTGTTCACACCTTTTACATTTTCATCGTGGCACAAGGCGTGACAAACTCCTACTACTTTCTCCTCAACCACGATGCAGCAGCCGCATTATTCCAAGAATTTCGTTTGAGGTGCGTACTCGACCTCTACACCTCAAACGAGTTGGTCGCCATGAAGTTATCAGGACGTGGCATCGCCATACACGACCATGTTGAACAACAAGGCTCTTCACTTTACAACAATCGATTACCTGAATTCCGCTTGGTTTCACAATCATGTCATGTAGCATTCCCTTTTTTTGTCAGATTGTCTGGCTTTGCTTAAATTAGCAAACATTGTCCTCCTTATAACTGATGCCTTAATCTGCTTGCTTGACCACTTCCTGGTACCGTTTTTACAGGCCCTTTTTCCCTTAAACCAACAAAGTGCTTGCCTGCCTAACTAACTTTGCTCACCTATTTTATTTCCCTGCAGGCTACGCAATACCGTTGCTTAACACAAACCCTCCCCGCAGAGTCTTCACGACCGTGGTTTTACTTAGGATGTGCCTTTTGTTTTAAGACAACTAGGTAGCTTCCTGGCACTAATGATTTTTGGTGTGATGAACATGGCCAGTTGATACCTCAAGAGACCCAAATTTGCTTAGTTTAGCATCCAGCATTTTTTCCCATTACAATACCCATGAACAACGGAACTCTGAATTTTTGATACATTTTTCCAGCTACAAAGTCCATTTGACTGTCAGAGACACTACTGGTTCGGCGTACTTTATCATACTTGGAAAGACCGCTGAATATTTGCTTGGGGTTACAGATGACGAACTATTAGTGCGCCACCCCCAACACCATGGATATTTCCCTCCAAAAAATGTGGCCATGAATGGACTTTGGTTTTCGTTGCATGTTCAGCTTCCTAAACCTGGATATTTGCCTGAAACCCTCTAGAGTTTACCATCCTTTCTGCAGTCGACCACAGCCAGCCTCAGCAATAGACTCATCAAAACAGTCTCTACCTGTGAAAAAAGTAATTGTGCTAAGATGTTGACAACCATAAATCTTTTCCTGTATCTATCCGGGAAAAAAAATAATAAGCAAAACTCTGATCATCAACTATATACCATATTACCTCTGCTGTTGTGAGTGCTTGCATGACATGCAATTATGCTTTTCGACCCTCCTGCCTATTTAACTAATACTCCTTTTGTACTGCTATTTGAAGTTTCAAGGGGGAAATGTAAATATCTCCACAAATTTCAAGTAGCGGTTAGGTACCTTTCACTTACCCCACCATCACCAGATAGCACTCTTCTAAACCACATCCAATGCAAAACAGCAAAATATCTAAGCTGTACTTTCCCAATCAATAAATCTAACAGCAACCAATGTCTCTTGCTCCATTATATGGTAACACCCGCCTTGCAATATTTAATAAGTTTGTGTATCTGATATGCACATAAAAACTATTAAGGTCCACAAAAATCTCCAAATTTCCACTAAAAACTCTACATTTTCCCAATATAACCTCCCCGCCGCGAAGCGCGGGCTTCCTTACTAGTATATATATATGGCAAATAAGTATATATAGAGAGAAAGGCATAACCTGACGGGTGATGACATAGGTACGTAAAATAAGATAAACTTGCATGGAAAAGTTATAATCTATAACAACAAATGTATCATTCCCCTAAATCACCTTTCACTTCTTTTGTTGGTGGGTTGATTGGAGCGGGAGAGTGTGCTCTGGCGCCGCCGAGGCCGATGGTGTTTGGGTTGAGCTTCCATGGATTGCTGTCGCTGGTTTTTTGGGGACGAAGGAGGGGAGTGTCAAGAACCAGTTGATCCCAATAACTCGAGTTGTTGTAAGAGGTTCAATCGTGGATTATATACCACAACACTAACGCGCCCCCTTAAACGAAAGCCACTCACAAGAGTTTGAAGATTGCACAGGTCTGAAGACAAGAATACCATGTGCTTAACAAATGGGGGTCACCGGGAATCGAACACAAGACCTCTCGGTCACAGAAGGCTCTGATACCATGTCAAGAACCAGTTGATCCCAATAACTCGAGTTGTTGGGAGAGGTTCAATCGTGGATCATATACCACAACACTAACAGGGAGAAGATAGATGCAATGGAACCAATTGCTTCAATGGTCTGGAACCCCATAAAAACAACAAAATCAATTAAAATAAAACAAAGGAGTCTGAGAAACATCATTTAAACATAATTATCCCCTTCCCATATAAATCTTGTAGCAGAGAAAAAGCGGAAGTGAATAATTGCAAGAATTGGGACTGAAAGGCCGGGAAGAATAATAGGTAATTAATTATACCGCCGCAATCGAAGCTGAAGGTCTCGACGGAGTCGATGAGTGCGTCGGCGTCCTCCAATATAATCGCGACACAGCTGCTGTTGCGCTGCTCTAGCCAGCTCATGTATGGGTCTCCTCCGCCATTATGGATCTGCCTCTGACCCTCACCATTGCATCTTCGCCTTCCCTATCTCTGCCTTCGTCGCAATCACCATCGTCTAGTCTCCGACGGGTCGCCATAGTCGTCCAACCCAGTCGTGGCGGCGATGACGAGAGGAGGACTCCTTGACCGGCGATCCAGTGAGAGAAAGGAACATATCACCGGCGGCGGATGAATGTGGACCGATCGAGAGTAAGGGGCTTTTCCCCTTCTCAGGGCAAATGAGATGTAATTTGTTTTTTAATTTATTTTAAAATTGACATGTCTTTACTTTCAGATTGCAACATCTCTTTATATTTTGCAGGACCACCTAGAGTGACATGGAGTCCCTCACCATCGACCGGCTTCTCAGTGGGCTCACTATATAAAAGCATGGCGGAAGCGAAGTATGGTCAGCAGGAAGATTTCCCTTTTAAAGTGATATGGAAGAATATCATTCCCGTCAAGATTTGCACCTTCCTTTGGCTGGTGTTCCACAAGAAGATATTGACACATGATTCATTGAAGAAGAGAGGTTGGAACATGCCGAGTAGATGCGCGCTTTGTTTGTCGAGCGAGGAGGACATTAATCATTTGTTTCTTCGTTGTGGTTTTGTGAGATCCGTTTGGTACATAATAAGCAGATTTGTGAAAATCCCCCATGGTGAACAGGTACTTGATGAAGAGATACAGAATGTCATCAAGCGCTGGCCGCAAAAATGCCCATCCGGACCTAGAGAATGGTGTTCGAGCGTAGTCTTGCACGCCTTGTGCTGGGCCGTCTGGAGAGAAAGAAACAGCAGAATATTTGAAGACCAGGCGAGTCCACCCAAAGTGGTATGCGGAAGGATCGGCCAAATGGTGGCTGAATGGCTCAGAGTTGGTGGCAAAGTTGATGCCATAATAACAGAGCAGTGGCTGGCTCGGCTGCATAGGAACATCTCTACTACTAACAGGTTGTTGAACAACCTCGACGAGAATCAGCAGCACTAGATTCGGGCTTATCCCACTTCGGTTTCTTCGTTACTTTGTATACAGGGACTGGATTTCAGCTCCTTTCCTGTAATGTTTCCGTAATGTTTCGTTTCTGTTCCAGCATGCAGGTCGATTGTTTGGCTCTCTACCTCTGCCTGCTGTGCGTGTACTTTGTTCGATTGTATCTTTTCTTTGTTTAAATTAATAAAAGGCTATCACCATTATAAAAAAAAAAAATTTGACATGTCATTAGTTAACAGTTCAGTCAAAATTCTGTTTGCCACGTCATCAAAAATTTAACGGAGATAGACGGTCGGTGACCAAATATGAAACGTTTCGCAAAGTTAGTGGCAAATAAGAAACAAAAGTGATTCGCGGGTGGCAAACGTGAAAGATTTATGTAATTTGAGTGACCAAACGCGTAATTTAGCCTTTGTTTATCAGTAAGAAAGGGTTCTTCCAAATCAACTATGGTTTCCTTCTCTTTCTTCTGATCACCCCCTCTATCTTTCTCGAATTCTTGGCTTTTCCCAACAACATCTAGTGATGACAATTTGAACCCGTCCTGACGGATATTACTCGATATGACCTGCACTGGGGAGGGTGATACCCGACCAGTAGTAGCATTGGACAGGACATGGGTACTCACTTCCGCCCTGTCCTCTTTCCTAATGATACTTTAGATAAGTGGAAGACTACATTTTTTTCAACTGATTGAACTCAATTAATTTATCTACCTGTTATCTCTATTTACATTTATCAATTAATTTTCCTTTGTTTTATCATTAAAAATAATTATTTTCTTCAAATAATATATTAGCGTAAGTCGACCTACCCTAACTCGTATCCATGAAAATATTACCCGATCTGATCTATGCTTGATATGGGTCGGAGAGACAGACAGACCCCGCTTGTCGGGAAAACATTTAAGAAAAACCAGAACTTGTCCTGGACACATGGGGCATGGGGATGCAGAGAAATTATATATAATGTGGAAGATCCACAGTCGAAGTTTTGGACTTCAATCATTCATCCTACTAGACTATTAGCTGGTTCGTCGTGGCGAATCACTTGTCCAACGATCCAAGTACGTACTTTCATCTTTCACTTGTTATTTACAGGACCAAACACGATACGATACGAGATTCAGAAATCAAATCCACCAATAATGTGGCAGAATATGAATAATATCGGTGCAGGCATGCCCTCAATCATATATTAATTTTGAAGGTTCTTCTCTTACTTGTATGTATACTTCGATCAAGATCACATTATCCCGTGTACGTATCCGATTGTGGCATAATTTATTTAATCATCATATTGCTGTGACAGACTAGTTTTACAAATTCTTTATAGTCAACTAGCACAGAAGATCTTGTTGTTAGGGTGACCAGAATTTTTTTCTTTCTGTGTACCCTAGATTGATAAAAGTTTGATGTTCGTCCTTTGTTGTTGTTGGTCATGTGATTGTTTTGTATCTCTTTATTTTCTCGATAATACGAGTGAATCGTCAGTAAATTGTCTCGTATGTGGATGCACGGGAGGATCAAACTCTCCACCCTAGCTTAAAAGTTTTGGACTCCAATGTTGGCTTCCTAGCAACTGTCTGCCGGCAGGCAAAGGCCACTGCACTCCCATAGGGACCATGATCATAGTGGCCACAGCTTGTCTGTAGACAACAAACACTCTTGGGCTCATTCCACCAGTGAAATGAGCAAATTCCAAGGTCACCATAACCATCAATGGCTTGTAACTAGAAGAAGAAGAACCCATCTTCTCCATCTCTAGATCGAGCTAGCTTTGATCTATGTACGTATATCTGTGATCCTTGATTAATTTCAGGCTGACAAAAGCTTGAATATATAGAAGAATTGGGTACTTGCTGAAAAGATATTGGAAAAATAAGAACGTGTTCCTGACCCATGGGAACTCAGAAATCAATTCTACCAAAATGTGGGGATGCATGGCCTCAATAATCATTGATTAATTGTATTTTAGAAGTTTCTTCTCTTAAAAGTGTATATACCTTCGGTCAAGATGGCATCTAATTTGTATCCGATTGTAGCATAATTTAATGATCATGTTGTGGAGTGACAGAAAGATCTTTGTTAGAAAAATGAGATGGCAAGACATGGGTGTTATGCATGCATGTTACAGCCTGTTCTTAGTATGTTGTCATATGCTTATCTATTTGTGCAAACTTGATAGCTTTGGTGGATTCCAGATGCTACGAAATTTCCAATCACATTTCATTCGACATTTTTTATTTATTTCCACCATCCAAAAATTTAAGGGATTGCAAATTGAGGACCATATTGTAATGTTTGCTGAATGAGTTACAACTAATTGCATATTAAGGATTATTAGCTTTCATTTTATTTGGATGACATACATTTTTTTAATTCATTTTAACTATACCATTAAGTGTTTTGAACCATAAAAATTGGAATAAAAGGAAAAAAAGTGCTCTCGGCACGTTCTCCCGAGCATTCACATTATTGGTACATACGCCGCTCGTTTTTCAAGCTACATAGCATATATCGCCTTCCCATGTGGCTACACTTGCCTCCCCCTTGTCATATAAGCAAAAACACCGCTACATCGAAAAATAGTTGTGAAGTATCGTTGTTCTGAAAATTTTCTTAGCTTTGCGACTGTCCAAATCAACCCTTTATTCTAGTTACCGTAAAATTGTACTCCTTCCTAATAAATATGAAATATCTTGAACTCATCCTACCAATGGTACGTAGTTCGAACATTTTTGTAGTCTAAGTTGTTGGTTGGGATAACTAGGCTTCACATCTTATAACAAAATTGTCCAATTTCATTTATTGATACAAAAGAAGAAGAAAAGACTTTGATAAATTTGACGGGAAGAACTTATTTGTAAGAGATCATAAAATTTGAGGGCTCATTTCGATAAAAAAAAAACCCAGCTTAAAGGCTCATTTGAGAAAACTATCAACATTCACAATAAAAAATTGTCAGTAATCCTCCCATGAGTGAACTTCAAAGTTCAAACAAATCACATTAACAACTTTTAAGACACTCAAATTAATTACTCTTTAGTTTTATAAATGCTCAAAATATTAGATACTGAAATTTGTATGATCTGACAATTGTAACTGTAACTTACAAACCCTGAAATATCTTTTTTCTACCCAAAATTGATTTTCATTACACATCCACTTGGTTTGGCTTATCAGTAAGAAATGGTTCTTCCAAATCAAGTTTGGACCTCTTCTTCTCCTCCTTCTTATCACTTTCAGCTTCTTTGAAGTCCTTGGCTTTCCCCCATAGCACCACATATAATCCCATTACCGCTGCCGCAGCTCCAATCAACCTATTCATGATCCCAAATATCAATATCACAGAGAAGAAGATAACCAAAATTGTGGGTTTCAATACTAATGGTAAATTTCAAAATGTAATCCTAATTGGGCCAGGATTCATTACCCTCCCAAGTAGGTCTGTTCATGGAGAAAGATAGCAGCAAAAATGGCTGTGATGACTGTGGCAAGTGGGTTGAATATGGCTGGGAAGACTGGGCCTCTCTCAGAAACACACCAGGCCTGGCCCAAGAATGACATTGCCAAGGCAACTCCCTGTTTTAAAGAGGTAAAACAGTTAAAAATTGCATAGTATGGGAAAGTTGTGTTAAAACAAAAGAGAACAAAGAGTTATTGAGAGCTTTACACTATACAAGCAACAACCCAATTCGAAACTCGAATTGAGCTTCCAAACTGAGAGATCCCTCTCCATGAACAAAGCCACTCCTGTTGATTGCAGAGTGGCCAGGAGGCACAACCAGGCTTGTGAGTATACGAGGTCAGGGCAGGTTGCTCCAATTGGAACCTGTCATATAAGATTTTCGATATGATATTAGAACGTCTACAGCAATTAATATTCCAATTTTTTTGTATTGTTGTGGCCACTAGTGAATTTACCTGAAGAATTACCCACGTGGACCAGAAGAAGCTGGCTGCCAAGAGAAGAAGGCATCCCATCACCCAACTGTTGTCTTCTTCTGGCCCAAGAAGAAAATGAGAGTTTAGGAGCTTAGGGCCCTTGAGGAAGGCCATGACTATGGCTCCACAGACACACATCACAGTCCCAAAAATCTTGGCCCAACTTCTCATGCTCCTAATGTCAATCTTCTCCATCCTGAAAGTCAATTGAAGTTAGTTCAAAGATTGAATCTTTAGCTTCATACTTCAAGGGTGGGAAAATTTTCCAATCAGCACCTCAGAATTGTTGCTAGTACAAAAGTGACTGCTGGGATGAGATTAATCATTGCATTTGCAGCAGTCGAGGAAGCCAATTTGATTCCTTGGAAAAATGCATTCTGATTCACCGTCACACTACACCGATAAAATATCCATCACATCCTGAATTCAACCCCAACCGGGCCGACATCACTAGATCAAAATATAAGGGTGAAAGGAGACTAGTTTACCCAAAGAAGGAGGCAGCAAATATCCAAGAGAAGCTCTCCAATGTCAATGAAACCCCACTTGGATTCCTCCTATTAAAAGAAAAAAACCAAATCAACAAGAATAGTACTATACCAGTTGATAATTACCATGGTTATAATTTTGCTTTCTTACCTTCTTGAGAAGCAAGCCAGGGTACCCATGATCAAAGTGGCTATAGCTTGTCTGTAGACAATAAAGATTCTGGGGCTCAATCCACCATTGAAGGCTGCCTTTGTGAAGAGAGCTAGTCCAGCATAAGCAAATTCCAAGGCCACCATAATAATTTCTGGCTTGTGAGAAGAAAACCCCATCTCTCGATCTCTAGTCTCTGTGTTCTAACTTTTTGGGTAGGAGGGAATTGATCTTGGTTTTCCCTCTTTTGTAAGGAGTTTGAGAAAAGTGTATATGGGGCCAAATCTCTGTTTTTGCTTTAAGAGATTGGTAGCTATCCTCTTATGAATGATTCGTTTCTATAGAAATGTGTTTTGTACCTTAGTGTAATAACAAGTTGGATGGCATGTGAGTGAACATGAGTGTAGAATTCAAGCATGGCAATAAAACAACCACATTCGTTGAATTATACAAATTTCAAACTTGATAATCGTGAAATGGGACACTCGATTATGAATGTGTTACTATTTCTTTCGAAACTATCTGACTAGATACTTATGTGTAATTTGTAACTGCTTTTATGTAGATACCAATACACATATGAAGAATTTGGCATCTTAGTTAATTGGTTCACTATGATGTTCTTTCCTTTTTATTCTATTTAGCCCATCTAATTCTCCATTGTTCAATAACTTACCCAACTTGAAATGAACGTAGAATTCGATTTATAGATTTGGTTCATGAATACAAGTACAATAAATATTCAAATCTATACTCCTTAAACATCTTCTGATGGGTCAAATTATTAAAACTAACTAGTTCATATATACGACACTTCAATTATGATATAAAACTTAGAACCACATGAGTATGTCATCACCACACGATACCAAATTTCAAACTTGATATTCATGAAAAATGAGGGATTATTAATTTACCACCATTCATTTTGAAATTTTATAATAAGATATTTATTTGTCATTTGTGACTGCTTTTATGTAGATACCAATACACAGATGATACATTTGGCATCTTCATTAATTGGTCCATTTAAATTTTTCAATAACTTGCCCAAGATGACCATGAGCATAGAGTTCAATTTATCGATTTGGTTCACGAATACGAGTACAATAAAATTTCAAATCCAAATTTCTTAAACATCTTCGGATATATGAAATGATTGAAACCAACTATTTTCGACACTTTCAATTATTCATATCAAACTTAGAACCACATGAGTCAGGCATATGATATCACCACTATAATTTTCTTGTTCTGAATCTATAGTGGTAGGATAATATATAAATTGAATGTGGTGACGCGGCGAGATGGGTATGAAGATTGAGATCAAACAAAAAGATTCAATTATGAAGAAAGGTAGGCAAGATGCACATGTATATGCTTTTGTCTCTTTTGAAATATAGTCATCATCAAAAAAATTCTTACATTTGTCATTTATCAGAAGAGAGCAACAAGAGTCAGTGGTAGTGGGATTTAATAATGTTGAGTTTATTGGTGATCTAGATCAGGACTGACATGCTTTTGAGTTGGAAAGGAAGCTTTTTTTTGGAGCTGTTGGGGGATTTTAAAATCCAGTTCATCTTTGGATTTTACTCCTTCCGTGTATTCATATCATCATTGGAGTTGAAAGTGGGGCAAAGAGACGGGGTGGGGTTTTCAGGTTCAGTTCTTAGTGAATGTGTTTGAATTGGTTATTGTGATTGGCAAAATATTTAGGAGATGCAAAGTAATCAATTTGATAAAAATAAATTGAAGTTCATCGACGAGACTACATTTGCTTCGTTGATTAATTACAATTTCTCCAAAATTTGTGACAATGATATTACAAATTAGCAGAATTTCAACATGTCATTTTGATCATTAAAAACTACGATATCATGTTACTAACCAATAGGGGTGTGTAATGAGTTGATTAGTATAAACCCAAACCGACATTTGGACGGCACCATACCGAACCAAATATAATATGATCCGGTTCTTGACTCCATTACTTTTATAAATACTGGAGAAAAATTAACCGAAGTAACAGTTGATCTGATTATTATAAGTCCTATAATCTCTTGCACTTTTGCACTATTGGACCAGGCCGATTGCACGCCCCCTACCAACCAATTACTCATAGCAACCCAAATTATGGCTATATTTTGTTGGAGGCTTTGGTTTGTCATCATGCAAGGCCCCAATAACACTTGGGCCCAACATATTTGAGACCTCACTTAGTTATCCTGAAACCAAGCACACCAGTAACAGAATGTACGTACCTCCTGGTCCGGCGCCGGCCTACGTTTGTAACGCAAAAACTGGCCCATTTCCCATTGTAAGTTAGCAACAATCGACACCAAACCAAAGCCTTATTGAGTTATTGTGGTAGTCAATTGTCTCGTCAAAATACTTAATTAATGAGAAGAAAACACGAAGGCGTACAATGTTGGATTGAGTTATCATTTTGTGTGATCACTCTCAATGAGAAGAGGTTAGTCACGTAAAATTTGAAGAGGAAACCCAATTTTAACAAGAGTATTGGAACGTAGATAATCCAAAATGAAAAACAATTGAAGTGGAAATGTACAAATTTAGCCAATACCCCATTTAATTATGGGTGTATTAATTAAGTAAGTAAATCAAGTCTTTCATTGTCCGTGGCTATATGTTTTGTTGTTGTTGATAGATAGATAGATAGATAGTGGTTACAATATCATTTTCATTATTAATTACGAAAGCACAGCGCATCAAACCTTTTTATGAAAAAAATTGATGCTATTTTTCTAGAAATATATCGAATTTTAGAGGCTTATTTTTTTATGTTGGTGATATAATGGGGTTTTTTTTGGATTATATACATAATTATCGTTGGCTTTGATTGGTGAAAGTGGGCCCTTGGATTTAAAACTGATAATAATATCAATAAACATTAAACTACAATATATTATTCATATTTATTACTATAATGATTTCTCTAGAGAGGAAATTTTCACACCTCTATGTTCCTTTTACATATCTCTAAATCATTGAGGGATGTGTGGAGTTCCGAAGATGTTATGAAGAGGATAGTAATTAATGGTCCTTAGTGGACTCCGATATCGATATTATGTCAGTAACATAGAATTTTCGCTAGCTGCTGATAAATGTCGCTAACGAAATTGCTTACATCAACTGACAACAAGCTAAGTTCGAACCAATTCTATAGCACAACAAAGGTCAAAAATCAAAATAGCGTAACAGAGATCCGGAGACCCTAACCAACCATCAAATGGAGATTTGGGGTTGGGAAACCTAGCTAGCTAGCTATAGTTTGGGGGTAATAATAGTATGATTAAACTACAAGTTATTATCTCATTCACGTTTATTACTATAATTAATAATCTCTCCATGTTTCCTTCATATATCTCTAAATCATGAATGTATTTTTGTAGTTTTCGAAGATGTTATAAAGAGAGTTGCAATCGAAGGTTATTTCTATGTGATTTACCAGTATTACATATCGAATTTTCCCTAACTACTAACAAACGGTGCTAACAACTTTGTTAACATAAACTGACAACGATTCGGATTGCTATACTCTTACAAAAATGGTCGAAACCGCGTGTAAACGAGCGAGCGAGAGATATGAGGATCACCCAAACATGTCACCAAATGGGGCTTTTGGATTGGGGACCCGATAGCTTAGTCATGGGAAGTAACACTACCCTCGTTGAACACACAGCCACATACTACAACATACATAAATATTTTGATGTATGCATTTAGGTTGACGGGAAACGGTTGTGGGAATTGGAATTTACATGTATATATGGAGTGTGTGCTGGATCTCGTTGGGAGACTTCACCATCATGTCGAAGGGTCACTGTCCGATCCCTTTGGGTTTTATGGCCCATTAATATTTGGGCCTCCTAGTCCTATAGCTCCATGAATCGTGGCCATGGAAATCGCCATTTCTGTATATTATTGAGTTGGTTTGGGGTTGGGGACAGTTCATGGTTAATAGCATCTTTTGAACAATTTGTTTCCACATTCAAGGGTTTTGGACGAGACAGAGAGAGATATAGGGCAACAATTTTGGTGAGGGGGTAACGGTTGAATAAGGGCCCTCCCGATTTGATTCATTCTCTAAATAACTATTCGATATGATCACTAGTGATATGGTACGTGTCTCACCGATATAGCGAACCAAGTTCTTGCCCTTTAATTAGTTTTTAGCTTTGCTTGACTATTTTTCTTTAGCGGGTTGTACTCCGACTTCCTGTTTCTCCCTTTTTTTTGTGTCTCTCTCCTTTGTTTCAAGTAATAATACTGTATCACCATTAGCTATAAAAAAAATTGCATTGTAACATTGGGACCAATCAGCTTGCTAACCATATCGAGTTAACACTATGTTAACCTAATACAATTATAGTTATAATCATTATTTTTCACAGTCGTATTTTTTCTCTTAGTTGTAAAACTACAACTCCGACATGGATTGAGGTTATGTGGGTGCCGACTCTCTACGAGGTTAGCATAGTATTCTGTCCGTGTACTGATATTTGTACAAGTTGGCACGTAGCATTGGTAGCTGCTGTGGTGCTGGACATTGGAATTTGTGCTATCATCATCACTTCATCATCATCATATATATATATAAGTGGCTGGGTGATCATTATGTCATTTGGTAGTTGGTGGTTCTTGTCATGAATCATTTTTGGCCACGTACACCACGCAGCTGTAATTTGTATAGGGCAAATAGGATCAGTCGTCGTTTGGTAATCGTCATTAAGTTTGGGCTAATTATTCATTAAATACCAATCTTGTCAGATATCAATGTATAGGGCATAATGGTTAAAGGAACGAGACGATATAGGTCAATAGACTAAAAGAATTCATGCATGTTAGTTGGTCGTCTTGATCCTGCCTTAATTCTGCGATTTGATGTTTTTTATCTACGGAAAACAAGATTACATCGTACTTAGTTCTTTATTATTCACGTCAAATAAAAATTCAGTCTTAGGTAATATACAGAACGAAAAAGAAAAGAAGGAAAGACACATGATAAAGTGATCAAGAGATCGAGCTTGGACACAAATGAGGAACCCGCAAACGATGACTTGAAACCATCTAACAAAATATCGAATACGTACACAGATGACGAAGATCTTCCTTTTATTTAATTCAATAATTCGAATACAAGACATGTTGTAGAAAGTATCTATTGTTTGCAAAATGTACG